CTAGGTGTAAAGGACTTACGTAGCTCATTAGGAGTCCTGCAGGTAGCTAGGTGGACACTATTATTGTAGGCGCTTGTTACCTTGGGAAGCATCTCATCCCAATTTACCTGATCTAATATAATATACATCCTGAGTAACTGCTGCAAGATCTTATTCATTTGCTATGTCTGGCCATTTGTCTCTGGGTGTCATCCTGACGACATTAACAACTTAGACCCATAAACTTTCATAAGATCCTGCTAATTTTGACTGGTAAACCGCGTGTTCCTATCACTAACTATGGACATCGGCATGCCATACTCTCTTACCCAAAAATCGAAAAACTTACTAATGACTAAGTTTGTGCGTGCCTTTGAGGGCAAGGGAACAAAGACTGCATACTTACTAAATCGGTCTACTGTGACCATGACTTGAGTTTTTCCGTACCTGCTTCTAACCCAGTATCCATGAAGTCGATGGACACCGACTCTTCGGGTCCTGATGGGATAGGCAAGGGCCTAAGAAGACCTAGCGGGGCTCTTGTTGTAATCTTGTTGCGCTGCCATACCTTGCAGTTGCGCGCATATTGTACGCAGTCTGCTTTCATACCTGGTCACGTGTGTGACATCATGAGATTAGCACAAGTCTTCTACCATTTGAAATGCCCTTCTGTATTGTGGCATTCCCCTAAGATCAAACTGCGGATCTCTTCACTATTGGGGACGCATAGTCTGTCAACGACATTGATCTTCTCAAACAGTAGCCCACTCTTGATCTGGTAGTGTGGTTCATTATTTGGGGCTCCCTTTACTCTTTTCAGCAGCTCACTGATCTTTTGCTGCAAATCGGCCCCTATGTCTAGAAAATGCACTATCGCGCCGAAGTAATTCGCTCTCCTGCTTAGAGCGTCGGCTACCACGTTGTACTTGCCTTTGACGGGTTTTAACTCAAAGTCAAATTGGTCTATCTCAACATCCCATCTAGTCAACTTGGGCTTCATCTTGGCTTGCATTTTTAGCCATCTAAGAGTTTCGTGATCTGAATAAACCTTGAAGTGTCTCCCAAGCGGGTAGTGTTTCCAGTGATCTAAGGCCTGCCTAAGAGCGTAGAATTCCCTCTCATATGTCGGCGCTGCAACTTTCTCTGAAGGCAGCCTGGCGGACATGAACTCTACGGATCTATAACCGTTGCCATCATCTTGCTGCAAAACGACACCTATGCCATATTGACTGGCATCTGTAGTAACAACAAATGGTACTGACGGGTCAGCAACTTCAAGGACAAAGAATTTTATTAGGGCCTTCTTCAATTTCTTGAGGCTGACTTACAATCCTGGTCCCACTTCCAGATAGTCTCTTTCTTCAGTAACCTATGAAGGGGAGCAGTGATCGTGGAGAAGTTCCTTACGAACTTCCTATAGTAGTTAGCCAATCCTAAAAACGAACGCAACTTTGTCAGCGTCTTAGGAGTTGGTCAATCTCTAATGGATGCTATCTTACTGTCCTCAGGCCGAATGCCGTCACCATCTAGTAAATGGCCCAGGTAAAGGACCTCAGTCTTAGCCCATTCGCACTTCTTCGGGGTAATTTTGAAGTTACTCTCTTACCTTGCTTAGAATCTATCGTAGATGGCCCTCGTGTTTCTCGAGGGTCTTGTTGAACACTAATATGTCGTCTAAATAAATTGTGACGAATCTATCTAACCACGGTCTAAACAAGTCGTTCATGCAGCGCCGAAATGTAGCCGGTGCATTAGTAAGTCCAAGCGGCATCACTATGAACTCGTAATGCCCATACCGTGAAGATGACAGTACGTTATATTCGAGGGAAGAAGGAACCATGGAAGGGGTGGTGTGTCTTCCCCCGAATAGAACGTACAGTCATTATAGGCGTATCTGGCTCACCATTCAGTCCGGATGCAGCAAAAATTAGCGTACCTTCTATTCGGGGGAAGAAGGCAGCATTGAAGGGGTGGTGTGTGCAAAGTCGATCACTTTTCTCCCGGGTATTTCACACACTTTCACCGACCGACCGACCGACCGACCGACCGACCGACAGACAGACAGACAGACAAACAGATAGACAAAGGCTCCCTTATAACGGCCTATTGCAAGCACAAAAAAAGTGGTCTATTGCTCGCTCAACTATGCTTTCCAAGGCGTGATCTGCAGTAAGCCTGCATGTGTATCTTGCTTGAGAGCCGCATTATTTTTTCTTTGTTTTTCGCTGTTTTCTCTTTTCTATGTACTTGTTACAATTTGTTTTTTGTTCCAATGGTCCAGCCTTTTTATTGGTACAGAGGCCGGCACCAGTACCACCTTCGTTTTCCCAGAAGTTGCACCTGGTCACTTTTGGGCCCAGCAAAATCCAATTCTTGGTTCTATGTGCCGAAGCTCGATGGGACTGGTGGTTTAAGGATACTCTAACATGCAATGAAAAAAAATATACTTTAGTATACTATATACTACAGTAGTATATTAACAACCAGAGGCCAGCCATGGCTACCCCGTAGCACACCACGGGATTAAGCGGTAGCACACAATGGGGATTTAAGGGGTATCACATAGAGGAGGCGGGGAGAAGCTCTTGCACAACGGAGGATTTGAACACATGACCTCTCTATTTATCACAAAAAGGGAAAACAAACAAAATTAACAACTTAACAAGTATACCACTCTTCCCATGTACAAAAAGTTGAAAAAACAAACAAATACCACCCTTCCCCACTTCCAATGTCAACTCCTGTTGATATTACCAAGCCATGTTCACTCCTTCCTTGGCAGGATTTGAGCTCGTGACCTGTCCATTAAAATTCAAAATCCACTGTTGATATTCCCCACTTACAATGTAAAACCAATGTGAAATCCTGTGTGTAATACCATGTAGCATTTGGGATTTGAAGCCGCCGACCGATCTCTCCCAAACCCATCCCCGCTGTCACAAGGGGTCTGGTTCCTCCCAAAAGACCGAGGGGTGATTTGAACTCATGACCTGTGCATTATTAAACCAACAGTGCATGCCAGCTATCGGCCGGGCGGGGGGCCGGGGCGGGGGGAGGGGGACTTTTTTTCAGATGCCGCCTGCCACCGATTGGATTTATTATCTACGGCAGGCGACGAGTTTTCTTTTCAGCAAGGCGGTTTAAACAGCTCTACCATGCACTATAAACAGAGACCGGACTCTTTCAAAAAGGCATTGTTATTATTACTATTATTATTTTAAGATTATTTATATTATTTGATTATTATTACTATTACTACTACGAATATCTACGTATACATACAGGGATCAGGGAAAATTTTATCATTAAAAAAAAAAAAAAAAAAAAAAAAAAAAAAAAAAAAAAA